TTCCCTTTTAGTTTAAAGTCTGAGATAATCTGAAGAGACTTTTACCGAAAGTAATAAGCTACAAGAAAGGCACTCTCCACATAAAAGTGTGCTAAAGAATTCAAGAACAGTTGAAGAGATGTCGCAATAGAAAAGTTGTTGTCTGTTTGTTTGCTTTAACCTGTTCACTGCTGGGTAGACGTACGTTCTGGCTTGTATTCTCCACTCATATTGTTTCATCTGGTTGACAAAAGTTTTAGTTGTTTTAGTTACAGCTTGTGATTTTGCTTATTCTGAAACAATTCTCTGTGTTTAAATATTCCTTGAATCAACATTTAATCTTGTAGGTACAGATGATGATGGAAATATTTCAGCAGTGAAGGGGTTAAATAGATGATCTCAATGATCAATCACGCTCCTCTTCTTTGTACACAATATACACCACTCCTTAACATTAATGTTATCGCAAACGCAAAAAAAATTCAAATCTCCAAAAGCACTAATGTGTATTCTAAATAGAGATGTGAGCGTTTTTGCAATGTATGGTCTTTGCATTTGCTCAGGGGAAAGTTAATGTGTGTTGCCAATTTGACCTCAGACGTAAACACTCCCGTCTGTTTCAATGGAATTTGCACACTACTAACATTTTGGGATGGGGGTACCTTGAAAGATGATAGGGAAAGGATTACATCGACTTCAATATGCCCCGCTCCTCACTCATAGTGCGTCAGGTAAAGGTTTCTCTAAACTAACCAACAAATGCACATGTACACACCAGAAACATAATTCTTCCCAAAAGTGGCTTTAAACAACGACGTGGATCAAAAACCTGATAATGCCCTCGTCAGTATAAAAACATAGTGGTCCTGCTTATTAGAGTTCGGAAAGTGGCTGTCTGAAGGCAAGGGGCCTACGAAGTACGAAAAACGATCAAATACGTAAAAATCAGCTCGACTGTGGGTTGAATAACCAGCAATCTAGTCGACTACCTCTGGGATCTAGCAGAGGAACGCAAAGGAGAACAAAAATAGTTTATATCTTTGAGATCCTATCAAAACTGTACAACCAATTCCCGACTGGAGGACTCTACATTATAACAGTGGTTCTCTAAAAGTATGGGCACTACTCACCCCTGGCATGATCACTTTCTCAATGTCGTCTTTGACAGACTCCCAGCTCTCTCCATCCGATGGCGCTTCTTCTGAGATAAGTTTTTTCAAGTACCCGGGGCTGACGGCCGGGAGAGGGCGTCGCTGTCTGATGTTCTGCAAGTAATCCGCGATAAAGTCCACCATCTCGCCACCACTGCGCCGAAATTCATCCGCGTCCATATCTGCTCAATATATTCACTGCTCCGGATTATTGTTTTAAAATATCTGCCAAAATGGAAAAAATTTATGGAGGAATAATAATAATAATAATAATAATAATAATAATAATAATAATAATAATAATAATAATAATAATAACAATAATA